TGTGCACACGATAACTCGAGTAAAAATTGAGATATCTTAACGAAACTTGGTACGAGCCGTAGGACGAATGGTATTGAAAATGGGCGAAATCGGACTGTAACCACGCCCACCTCCCATATAACGGTAATTTCCAGAAATACGAAAACTGCGATATTTTAGTAACTACTGAAGATAATTCACTCAAAATTGATATTTACAATAATTTTGACGGACGGACGGACAGACAGTCACCGCTTAATCGATTTCTCTTTTCATTCTGATCATTTATGTATACATTTGTCTATATCTATCTCGATTCGTTTTGCCTGTTACAAACAACCGTTATGTGAACAAAGTTATAATACCCTTGTGCACAAGTGCGCTCGGGTATAATTATGCAATTGCTAAGGGAAACTTACGTAAAAAATAGCATATGCTCTACCGCATATTTCCAAAGATATCTGCATGTAGCACTTGATATACATTTAAATCCCACCGTATATTTTTTCTGAAAGATTATAAAGAAATTACTGATTTAAAATGTATGCATATTAAACAGGAAAATCATGTAAAAAGCATCTATTTAGAATCTATATTTACTAAATAAAACATAGAATGGTTAACCAGAAACGTTTGCATGATTTGTAGGTATGTAAAAAGGCACACCTCGTCACGATTGTTTATTTGTTTAAGGCTTTATACATATAAGTTAAAGCCGAAAAACTATTGATAGCCACCCACGTAAACTGATTTACTGGCTAACCAGAATGTAGTACCACATCAAGGTTTATATATAAGAGGTTGCGCAATGCGCAGGTCCGTTATTCTTTTCTCGCAAAATTGGGCGACAACAACAGTGAAAACAACAAGCAACGTAAAAAAACATAAAATTGATATGAAGTGTAGCGATTTCAAACCAATTGTAATCGACAGCTTATTCAAAAATACATTTACAGTTAATTTTAACCAAATTTTACTCATGCCTGTATGTCGAAAAAGCCACAAAATCGGATTTTTCATTGCGGAAAATTTTTGCGAAATTTTCATTTAAATTCGCTATATCTCAGACGTTTGTGTATCGATTCATTTGCAATTTGTACGTAATAAACTAGATTATATTCTAAAGAAGATGGGTCTGACTGAACTTCTTAATATTTATTTAAAACAAAATGACAAATATTTTAACACTTTTATAAGAACTAGTGTTCGCCCAGCGGTTGAAATTCAACCGCTAAAATTAAGGATAGTTTATTTGAGTTGAGTTGAGCTGAAATAAAATTTGTTGGAATGGGTTAAGTGGAGGGGAGTTTAGCTTATTACTTAGCATAACATAACATAGAATAGCATTAGATTCAATAACATAACATATGTATGTATAACAGTTGTATATCCTTTTTATCCCTATAACTTTCTTCCTCTCTATCTTTGTCTCTATCGCTTTTAATGTTTATGTTTATGTTTATCTACACCTTCATATTCATGTTCATGTTCATGTTCAGACTCCGGGAGCAATCGCAAAGGAGCATGCGACTAATACCACTTTTGATCTCTTTATATGGAATGAACTGATCGCTTTTGTTCGAGCATGTCCTATGAAGAGACTAATTGTTCACCTTTATACCCGAAAGGGTATAAAAAGCGGCTAGTCACTTTTAAAAAATACAAATAAAAATTTGCGCCAGCTGAGATTCGAACCGGGTTGCTTAGTTTTGTTAGGCGAATACTCTATCTGTGTGCCAACGCCGCACATGAAATTTCATTGACTAAGTGCGTACATATCATTAAATCGTTAATAGTACCCTTCAGAGATGAGTTGGGGACTAATTGATCTCCAATTATACCCATAAGGGATGAGTCGAGACTAATTGACCTCCATTAGTACCCGTATGAGACTAGTTGCGACTAATTAATGCCCAATTGTACCCGATTGAGAGTAATCTCGGAATACTCTCTTTAGAGATTAGTCGCACAATTTTTTGCAGGGTATGGTTAGGATTGCATGTGGTGGGATTTGAACCCGCGGCCTCGGTGTTTAAATCAGGACCTCAATCTCTACGTGTTGTAATAATAATAAAGTCCGGCGCTTACACAATATGTTAGTGTTTGGCCGAACTTCTCCTCCGATTTGTCGCGTGGGCCTTAATGTTGTGGCACAAAGGGGGTGCCTATAGTTTTTTGTCGACTCTGAAAGCTGTTTTTCGTTTTCAAGGTTTGCGCACTTCTAACCACTACACCCAAACGGCCTATATGCGAAACCTATATTCAGATAAATTTTTTGGATTTTGGTATCGATATTTGGAATATCGAGTATTTTTATTCCGATATTAATGGGTACCCGATATTTTTAGGGCGATACTTTAAATGAGTACCATATCGATACTTTCGGTTCGATATCGTGTCCCTAAGTGCAAGTTTAAAGCAGCTGGAATTTGCCGTCAATCTCATATTATCTAAACGCGATTTTTTTACGAAGAAAATGAGCAACACCTTCATCAAAAAAAATATATATATATTAAAAATCAACGATAAGTCGCAGCTATTTTAAACTTGCACTTCATTTACTACAAACGGCATTCTCAAAACATGTATTTCTAGGAAATCGAGTTAAAAGCCCGAAATTTTTACGAAAGTTTGTTGATTTTTTTAATGTTGCGCAAAAATTGAACCTTGGGTTTTTATTAAAGTATAAACTGCATTTTTATAAATAAATTAAAATTAAATAATTTTAAGATAAATGGTCAATCTTGTCAGTATGTGAGTGTCGTAAAGTTTTGATAAGCACTTGAAATACTAAAAATAAAATGTCAAACTTTAGTACTGAATTCATAGAAGATGTCTCCTTTATCCATGCAAAATAACTTAAAAAAATTTGTTTGTTAAGAAGTGTACCTTAAAATATGTGCATGCACATTTATGTTCAAAGTGTAAAATGTACCTATATAAACTTTCCCATGAATACCATCAAATCATTGATCTTGAAGGGAATCTATGTATGCATGTACTAAGAAAATATATGAGCAAATTAAAAAGTCGATGCAATTTACAGTCGAAAAGTACAGTTTTTGTATAGATTTCGTACTGAATGAACAATTTCATTTCCCAACACTGTGCGACATGCGAGCGCCACCATAAACAAGTGTGAGCTAAAAGTGAGAGTGGGTTAGTGTGCCTTCGCATGCTGTCGCTTTCTCGTCGTTTGTACATGTTTGTTGCTATAAACGACGAAAATCACTCAACTGTAGGGATGCAAACGATGCATCGATATTTCTGAAACATCGATAACATCGGCCAAAAAACCGATGTTTACCATCGATATTTGAAAATTACTCAACATCGTAAAATTGGCGATATATCGATGTCAATTTTAACGATGTTTTAAACATCGACTTTAGTTTCGGTTCAAAATTACCATTGCGTTCACATCTTTATGTTATATTCTTTGGGCTCTGTCACACGGTCAGTATTTATTGACGTGATCCAAGTATCGCGATATTTTTTGACGGTGTAGTATGCAGTATTGATGGATCGTGATCCATATCGCAAAATTTCTAAAAATTTTGAAATCTGGATCGCGGATCGCAATACCGTCAATAAATATTGAACGTGTAGCACTTTCAAAACGCGATCCATACATTTCTTTAGTACATCTTTTAATCTCATAATGTAAACATCGGCTCTGCCTTCACTCTCGGGGCTTAAAATCTTTCAAAACAAATTGAACAAATCTTAAAATAATTGTCATAAATAATAAATGCATTATCTGTACATTATACGTACAAAATAAAAGTATTTGCTTGCGTCATAATAAGCGTCCAGCAAAAAAAATATGCAAATACTGACGCGCTAAATATTGAACATGTAGCATTCATGCGTGATCCATCAATCCATCAATATGGATCGCGATCCAAATATCGTGATAATTACTGACCGTGGGACAGAGCCCTTTGGGTAAGCGTATTACGGGTGATGGCAGCCCTGCACTTAATGAAAGCAATTGGCAACGTTGAACATAGGCGATTTCCATGACGTAGTTACAGTATTTCAACACGACTTAAGGTGAGTGTAAGTATTATCTGCGCGTAAACAGCAAATCTATTATGACATTGGAAGGAAATCTAATTAAATTCAAAAAACCACCCATTGAAATGTTAACAGTA